TAACAATATAGCTATGGAAAATCACTATATCGAATAGATAAAGAATCTATAAACAATCTACAGTATAAAAAATGGGCCAGTTTCCATAGCTATGTTAAAACACAGAAGGGCATGTGGCTTTTAGTGTCTTGTCATGAGGGTTCTACACGGCGATATAGGGCATTTGGCTTCCTGGTCGTGTATGTGGGGCTTCAAAGCCCCAAATCAGGTGGGCACTTTCCTGAAACCCAAAAGAATCCCTTATTAATTATACAATATTATACATATTTAAGTCTCAATTTGTCTGAATCAAGTTATGGCGAAATCCCCACAATTGGCTGGTTTTAAGTTGTGGTACTCCAAGAAAAGATGAAACAAATCGAAAACACTGTTGAAATCGGGGTAAACTGGTAAACTGAACCTTTTCTGAATCGTTTTGGGCCGTCCACTAAAAAATCTAAATCATCACAAGTCCCAACTTGCCATTGGATCGCTCCGAGCATCGGGGTAGATTTCTGCGAACGCCACGGCGGGCGTCTTGCGGCCCTCCGCGATGAACTGCTGAGCCGCCTGCAGACGAGTCTTCACCTGCGATCAGCAACTGGGGTGCCAGTTATATACAACTGGCTTGGCTCTTTAAAACTGGTAAGTTGGTGACCAACATGTCATATGATGAAAGTGATAAGATTATATTCTAAGATATTGTACATCGATGATTGCGGCCCTTTTGTACATACATACCTTACCTATTTATCGATTATCTATCCCAATTTGACTGCTCCGGGAGTTTATATAAATCGTGAAAGAAATGAGGCAAGAATGGAGGGTCTCCACAGTGCTGACCAGTTATTATACCTGCAGAAATCACCCAGTCCCTGAAACGATCATACATTGCTTATGGGGAAAAAGGCCTTAACATGACAGCTTGCAAGCTGATATTCCTTGGTGAAATACTGGTTGATGTACACTGTCCACCAGCCTAACCAGCCTTGTGAAACAAGATTCGTTTCAAGTAGAGTCTGACCCATAACCCATCCGGCGTATCCGCCCACCAGCCAAAATGGAGCACCAACGAAGTAAGCCACCGACCTTGGCGTTGAAGAAAACTGCTTGGATTATGCCTCCCAGTTCAGTTGTGGTTGGGAACCTTTTTTATGTCATATATGACTCAGCCATACAAACGGCTTCTCCCGGTTGGAGGCTTTGAATTAAACCTTGGGAAAATGACCCAAGTACCCTGGAGTAGCAACATCGGAGGACCAAAACCGGGATGCTTCACTGCTCAAAAACCCACCTGTCCCATCTGCCAACGCAGCGGCCCGGCTGCCAAGCCAGCTCCAAGCATGGACGCGCCACTCTTGGAGTTTTTGCTGGGAGATAAGAGCTGCAAAGTGTCCTTAAAAACCAGGTGTTTTGCCACGAACTGGCGCCGGTTTGGGTTGCAAGTTCAAACATGGCAAACCATTCGCGCTCGGGTGATTGAAATGATTACATAAACATGGCAATGGACAATTCCCCAATTATATATAGACAACCTCCATTTATAGGGGTTTTCCCAGTCAGCCATACTCGAGTAGGTAGCTGTATGTAGCTGTACTCTACCATCTGGACTTCAACATAGTCAAATTCAGAGCCCGAGCAGTTGCGCATTCGGGCTGTGAAGTTGTAGCCAAACCCTTCTCGAGTGAGATTGCTAAGGATGGTTGATGATTCAACGCTAGGCATTGTCCCAACAACCTGCCGGAAAACCATCGAAAACCCATTAAAAACCATCGCGAACCTGCAAAAACCATTGCAAAGTCGCAAAGCTACGGAAAGCCTATGAAGATATCATGAAAATGAACAACGATTTGTCCCTCCCTTCCACCACACCCCTCCCTCTCCACCACTCTCCGCCCAGGGACGCGTGCTGTGGGGTACAGCCCCATTCGCAAGCCTTGAGAGATCGCCACGGCACACCTGGTGGCAAGGACTCATTTGGTCCACCGTTTCTCCAATTTCTTTCAACACTTTTTGCAGTGTCTCCAACATGTTTCATCTTTAGCATCTTCTCAGCATTTTCCCAGCATTTTCCCAGCATTTTCTGGATCCTTTGGAACCCCCGTGGCACCCCACCTGGCCAAGGCACATGTTCACCGGCAGCCCCGGTCGCCACAAGGCCCGCCAGAGCCCCTCGCTGCGCAGCAGCTGTTGAGTGAAGCTCAGGAAATGGGTCTCAGAGCCCCGGGAGACCTGGCGCAACGGAGCTGGAAAATCTACCATTTATATATTATATATATATATACATATAGATATAGATATATAGATATAGATGATTATAGATGAGTTTGTTTGGAAAACCCATGATTTATAGGGGATTTCCCAGCTGAAAATTACAACATATTACAACTACCCTCTGGTAAACTAGCAGTTTGCTATGGAAAATCACCATCTTTAAGCTCGGTAAATCGAACAAATAAATGGGCCATGTTCAATAGCGAACTGTTAAATTACCAAAGGGTATATGAACATATATCACCAAAAGTGGTTAGTGGCTAGTAAGCCATTATGAATCACCTGCGGGATCTCTATAACCTTTGATACTTGGGTTTCGTGGTAAGTAGCAACGATCCGTGGGATGATCCTCCAAGTAACACCAGGAAAATGGGGATAGGATGGTAACTTAATCAACTTGGATGGGTTGAAACCTATAGTAAATTAACATCCATGGATTGAAGTGATTTGTTGGAAAGTCTACAGGAAGCAATGGTCTGTACCAGTAAGACTCCACTAAGTATAGGGGGTTACGGTTCCTCCAATGTTTACCATCATCCGATTCTGGGACCATTGTGAAATTATTTGAGTGATACAGTAATTATGCAGTAATTATGATCTCAAAAGCTTTTAGAAAACGGTGTCCAAAAATACGCAACTTTGACCTGCCAACTTCATACAGTACTTCCCATGGATTACCCCTTGGGGATTATCAAGCCCATCATACAATTTAGGATATGATTAAGGAATGATCAAATGATCATCACTATACTATGGGGCACCACCTTGTTTGTGATATGTATTGGCTTCATCCATGCATGATCTAGGATGATACTACTAGGGGATTACCAGTACTTAGATGCCAACTTGGCTAACTGATTGGATGATCTCCGATTACGGTTCTGTCTGAAAATAATGCATCCCTAAAACCACTCATGAGTCATCATTCTCCTGATTCAACTGCCATTTTGGGGATGCACCATCTTGTAAGTGAAATGGACAATCCTTAGTTATTGTTTGGTACTTATTGTAATCATTATCATTTGGATCATTTGGGGATATTTGAGGTGATTATTAAACTGCTGGACGATGTTGTCTTAGCCTATGGGTATATGATATATCTGATATATACTATAAATATAATATAAACATTCAGATATGATTATATAGCCATGGGGCCATATGTTCACAATATAAAGCACACTTTGTGGGATGTCAATATGATAGTTACACTGATTGGTGGGAAACGCAACATGTCAGGAAAAACTTGGGATTTATTAGGATGATACAGAGTGACTACAAAGCACCAAGTGGCAAACCATGAATCATGGAGTCTTACCGGTTTCTTGAATTGTTATGTTTTATATTGTTTTATGGTTCATGAATGTTTATGATACGTTAATGTCCAAAACCAATAATATATGGATCCAATTAATATCAAGTCACCTGATGTGCGATCCTAAAGCTCCGCATGAGTTGATCAGCCTGGGAGGAAGGCATTTGCCGACAATTTACACGATTCAAATCATTAAAACATGGTTTAACCATGTTTAACCGATTGCTGTCAAGTTTGATAGAAGTTGACCCCTGGATGTAGTTTTTTTTTTGTGGGAATGCTTCCACTTGATCCACTTGTATGGAAAATGACACCGTTTTTCGGCTACCCCTCTAAACCAACCATATTTTACATGTGGCATTCCCGCCCGTGCTCCCCCGTGAGAAAAAAACACAACACAAACAAAGTGTTACAATCAAAGCTTTAGGTTTTTTTCACTTTCTTGTGCATTTTCATGTCCTGCCCCCTGCATGCCCACACGGGCAACTAGGCGCAACTCTCTCGTTCTGGTGCGAAGTCTACCTCTAGAAAATGTGTTTGGTGATACAAATCAGCTCGGAACAATGTCGGGAAGTGCTAGCAATCTGATGTTAAATGATGCAACTGTCCAGCCGAGCTTAGAGCCCCTCGACACTTGTTGCAGATCACAAGCCGTGACCTTCAACATCATGGTCAAGCTCAATCCTGCCCGGGGCCTGCCACCGAATTCGCAAGCAATCCATGGGGTTGAAGATAGCCTCACTCCAGCCACATGATTCAGGATTTGTTAGTGGGTATTCTTCCCAAACAAATAGGGATGCGACCCGCAAGGACTGGGATATACATGGATATACTATACCAGCAATGGCTGTGGAACCACATGATGCCACGTCTAAGTCTAATCACAAATCATTGCGACCCAACTAGGTCTAGAAGAGCCCGCCAGCATCATCACTTGAAGAGATGGCTCACAAAGATCAAGTGACAAAGCCTTCAGTAAGCTTCAATATTTCAAGGTTTGAAAGCCAAATGGAAAATGTCAATGTCGCAATCCATTCCCCCAACAGTATCCCCTTGAAAAGGCTGGGTGGGAACTGGACCTATTCGAATGGAGCCCATTTCAGGAAGTTTGATATTAGGGGTATGGGATTATGAATGCTACCCTGCGGCAATTCAACATGATGGAAAATCACAATTTTGAATAGATAAAATCATCTATAGGCCATCTATCGCGCTGTTAAATTACGAGAGGGTATATGGATGATTGGTGATTGGTGGGTTTATTTATCCTTTGCCACTGATACCATCCGATGTCTGGATCCAAAGCCAGCCACTGGCTGGCAACACCCAGCGATGGCGGCGGCCAAGGTGTTCCCTCCCAAGTCTTGCAGAGATTTCTTGACGCCTTGGCCAAGTGCAGGGGTCATCCATGGAAGCAAACTGTGGTGGAAAAATAATCCACATCACTTGGGATATAAAATATTAAGTTGGATTATTAAAAACCATGGTTCCAGTTCTAATTGGATATGTAAAACAAACTGGAACCATGGTTTTTAATAATCCACATCAGTTGGATATATATGGATATATAACATGGTACAGTATAACCCTTGTGACCATGGTTCAATATCCTTAACCCAAAAAAACCTGGAACCGTCCCACGAGGCTCGCGTAACCAAGCGGCTCATCTCGCAGCGGCGCCGTAACTTGCGCAACCACTGGATATAGCTGGATATAGCTAGATAATCCGTGTGCTTTAAACGATAGTAAAAGTAATAAACCCATATAACTCCCAAAGCTTAAATGTTGAAAACCCGTTTTCAAGAATTTACTGATCAACAATCATTTCTTCTGCTAGTAGTCACAAATCATCAATTGTGGTCGCCGCAATCACCATGGTCTTCAGATGTCTTCCGGTTCAGCGCAGCTTGCGCAGGTGAATTCTCCGTTTGGAGTGACTCTCACCTTGCAAAGTTGCCGCTACGCAAAATATCTGAGGTGGGTCAGGCGAGCCAAATGTTCGAGCAATATCGAGCAAAATGAAACCGCTTCAAGACTTTCAAGCGAGGAATGTGAAGAAGTATCGTCTGGAAAAGGATGTACGAGAGCACAACCTTTGAAACCCAGGGTTTTCACAAATTATCTGCATGCACTGCATGTTGCGGAGTCACTTGTGGTCTGCCTGGAAACAGCAAGATGGAAAAGAGACTGCAAGTCTGCAAGCCGCAAAATAGCACACATCAATGCACTTGTTTCCTTGTTTTGTACTTTAACTCTTGAGCATTCTTAAGCCATACATGCTAGGGAAATGCCGAGCGTTCAACTATGTTCAACTCTTGAGAGGTTGCAAATCACTGAGGCGTAGATCAGCCATTTTCTGCTTAATCGATGCTTCCCTGACTGAGCAAGTTGCAGGGACAGCTGCATCCAACTAGACAAGGGGCCCACTGTACATCTGAAATCCAAAATGGAACTTAAACAGAGAAAACATCCGCAGAGGTATTGGAAAACGATCTTCTTCTGGGAAAGGTTTCCATAAAAAAAAAGAAAAACAAAAAGTTGCAACTTGCTCAGCCCCTTGCTGGCCCAACGTCGTGAAAGGAGCTTTCACTCAGAAAATGGTCGTGGATCTTGTGCCGCCTCCTTTTTGGGTGATCACAGCAAGATGGCGTGAAAGCTGGCCGAGAATGACAAGAATGACGAGGAAGTGAAACAATTTGATTTCAGGATAGCATCCTTCACAGCGAAATCATGGTGAAAAGGATATATCTATAATCATCTATATATAGAATATAATGCCTTTCCACATTCATATAAAACACCTCCAAACGAAACCATGGAAAAATGTATATAGGGAATTTCCACATCATTGGGACCATCTATTATAGGTGGTGTTTAATATGAACCGGGGATGTCCCAACCTCTCAGTCCCAACCTCTCAGCGTTCGCTCCTGTGCGGAGTCTCAATGCGCCGCAGCTGCACTCGGCCATGCAGCGTGCAATGAGCATCGTCCGAAGTCGGCAAATGGAAGGGGCCCTCGCAAATGCCTCCTGGTTCAAGCACTCAACCGCTCAGGATGGGGATTGTCTATGATTTCACTGATTTAACCCTTTTGAAATGGGGATTTCATGGGATATGAATGGAAATAGGTGTGGGATAAATGATCCAACAATGATATGATATATGGATTTGTCTGAAAAAAACCCTCAAATGGCAATTTTTGTGGAAAAATACAATAAACCTAATGGCACAGTGAGCCCCCGGAATGGAGAAGAACTACAATGATGGCCGAACAAAGAACAAGACGAGCTAGCAAGATATATCAATGCCGAGATATATCATATATCACGCAAACTCAACGACAATTCAAAATGTTGGGCTGAAATACTCCCATCATCTCATCCACGTTGGGGTTTATAGTCACCGACAGAATTATGGAAAAAAAAAAAAAACGTTCAACTTAGACAGGCGGCGCCTGCGTCCGATTTTTCCACAATTGGATTTTTCCCCATAAGGGTTCAAAATATCCCGGAAGTGATCCGAACCTTTTTTTTTTCCCATAATTCTTGGAGGTGGCCATTATTTCCACAATTGATTTTTCCTGTGAAATCAGGGGGCTAGGGCAGATTGACCGGTTTTTCCATAATTATTTTTTCCATAATTATTTTTTCCATAATTATTTTTTCCACAACTAATGTTTGGGGCTCCACCTGTTGGACATGTCATGGATCCACAATTCAAACCCGTTTTTTTTTGGGGGTTATGGAAATATGTATATCAATGGAAGACTTAGGGGCATATACCAGATCTTTAGACACATATTTTCTATAATTCAATATTCCCCCTTAAAATGCATTCAAATTGCGAATCGATGGTAATACAGTCACCGACAGAATTATGGAAAAAAATAATTATGGAAAAAAAAAAGGTTCGTAACTTTTCTATCATAGACAGGCGGCGCCTGTAAATTGAAACGTTTTTTTTTCTTTCCATAATTCTGTCGGTGACTGTAAATCTCTATGGACCAATCTCTTTTTAAGGGCCTCTCAGTGCTCTTGGATGAAGACTTTTGGAGGGTTGGCACCAGCCATGCCCTGACACTCCTTGTGAAGCAATGGCATGCATACTCCTCTCCATATGAGCTGTGACCTTTCCATCCTCAGCACAAATGGTATTGGAACCTCTTGGACCATCTCCATAAAATGTCCCGTAGATCCCTGCATCCGAGCTGCGGATATCTGTGGATGCATCCGATATCATCTGGTTATTTAAATTTAATATAGCCATGGAAAATCGCCCATTTATAGATAATTGTTTAAACATATATAAACATATTATGATCATTTACCTACTAATAGCCTATACTAAAAGCTGGTGATTTTCTATAGCCTGGCTTTAGAGCATTGGTGATCCTATTCTTTCGAAGCCAAGCGTCTTCACCGAGGAGTTCGATCAGCAAGGCATCCGCCTTTCCAGCTCTCAGATGACACACCTCGGTGATCCCAGGTGGTGCCCCCAAAAGGATTGCTAAGGATTGCGAAGTCCGGGAACAGAACTCCAAGAACTATAGGATTTACATATTACATATATATATATAATATCATTATATATCATTATATATCTATGGCAGTTGTAATTTCTAACATATTGTAACTAATAATATATTTATGAACTAATAAACATAAATCTATATGTAAATCCTGGGTAATGTATCATATTGTAGCTATAGTTCATGGGATTTATGAACCAACAAAACATCACTAGGGGGGCCCGCATTGGACCAGGAAAACTAATCATCGATGGAGACCCCCAGCGAAGCGCACACTTGATGCCTGGGGAAAATGGCTGGAACCCCCAACAAAAAAACAAGTAGATACCCTCTGGTAATTTAACATGACTATTGAAAATGGCAATTTATAGCTGATTTACCTATTAAACATGGTGATTTTCCATAGTTATGTTAGTTTACCAGAGGGTACATGGAGATTTTCGTATTGACTTTCCAAATGGGAGATCAGCCTGACCGGCTCCCGACGCCATCAAACATGAAGTGCGCCATCAAAGCCCACGCTGAGAATGGGGGTTAAAACCCATCACCGAGACCATCAAAGTATATACCCTCTGGTAAACTAGCATAGCTATGGAAAATGACCATTAATAGTGGATTTTCCCATACAAAATGGTGATTTTCAATAGCTATGTTAGTTTACCAGAGGTTATATATACATAGAAAACAATTGAAGAAATGGGATTCATGTCAAACATATATAATTATATATGATGATTCAATCCGATTCAATCCGTACATGCTGGTCTAGCCGAATCTGCACGGGTAGCCTCTGAGGAATAATTCAACATAGGCTGGTTGGAAACTATCCTAACTATTCCTGACTACTGTATACATGACGTGCCTTTCTGAACTAAATCAATGTTAGTTAGGTACGATACGCTTCCCAAAAGTGTTCCAAAATGAAGACAAACTACAAATGACTTGATTTGTGCTTGATGGCGGAAAAAAAGGATGATTCAGCTAGATTTTCCCTTCAGCCATCTCAAACCAATGCAGTCAAAAAAGGATAGGAAAATGAAGCAAAGCCGCAATCAACCATCCCAGTGACTAAACCGTTTAAAGGCTGTTGTCAAGCATTCGAAGTAAATCCAATAAATCCAATACAGAATAATACAGGACAGTACTATGCTATAAAATAACGGCGTACATGGGTCCCTGATGTGTAAAGCATCCCAAAACAAGGTGGGCATTGAAAAACAACATAAACCATCCCGATGACGAACACCACTAAGAATTGGACATAAATCATAAAGAAGGTCAACATAAATTATCCCTCTTACTATAAACGGCTATTTTATGGATATCCCCAAGTTCAGACACACCCAAAACAAAGATACATCGGATAAATCCAGCCCCTTCCAAAAGATAGAAAAGCGATGTCCTACTTAAATGAACGTAAAATTCCAAGCTGTTGAGCTGTTCTATCATTTTGGGGCTTAAAAAGCCACCAAAAACATAACCCACTTGGGACCAATGCACCTGATCGAAGTGTGGCTCTCGTCCCGCAGCTTGCGTGCGCGCGGCTTGCCGGGCAACGGTACACCACTGCTGGTCCCAGCCTCTGAAGCTCCAACTGGGGCATTTTTTGGGGAAACCCCAGGTTTTCCATAGTTTTCCATGGTGCTTAAAGGGTTTTGAATGGGTTTTCCATTCTTTTGTCCCTACGAGAATATGAAGGATACCATAGGTTTTGCATGGTTTTTACCTTCTGAACATATGGCAGTATGGGCACCTGCAAGTTCCTCCACCTTCTCCAGGAATCTCCCAGGCGGTGGGCCAAACAGTGGTGTTATGCGTTTATTCTCGCGTGTGTTGATGTAACCAATCACGTTACATTCCAATCATGGTTCCATGATAATTTGTGTTCATCAAGCAAGGGGATGGAAAAACCTGTCTTTGAAAGGAATTATGTATATATATATATATTTAATATTACGTTATCAAAATATATCAAAATTAGGTTCCATCGCTGGCTCGGCTTGCCAAAGGGCAAACATGGGCAAATCATCAGCGCTTTGGGCCCTTACCGAACAGATCCTAAAAATCAGGCTATAAGGCTATAACCCCAATGGACTACTACTTACCCCCAGCAAAACTGGGATTTCATGGCAATTTCCATGGGGAACTCACTGTGTTTTTGTTTTCTCACCAACCCCCAGGAAGCTCCAAAAACCAAGGGCGCCATCCCAGCCCAGCAACTTGCCGAAGCGCTGGACTTCTGGCTTCCCGCCTGTGCTATGGAAAGCCATGGGGAAATCCAGGAAGTGTCCTAATAACTATGGATTTTAATAAGGTGTTTTAAATATATTTAATATATTCATCCACTTCTTTGGGTCAGTTTCCATCTCTTGCAACCCTGGGTTTGGAAAAGCATAGCATAGCATAGCCATGTATCAACTGGAATATGCTCACTTGCGATCCATTAGGTGCCTTGATTTTGGCTCACCTGACGCCAAAATGACAACAAAAAGCCGAACCTATGTAATGGAACTTGCTGGGATCGGACATGGCAAGGCAGCATCAAGTTTCCAACTTGGAGGCATCTTCACACCCGGCTGAAGGTGCGAAAATGATAGTGCTTCTCGCCAACTTTGAAGGGCACTGCACATTCTGGACCCATGTTTAACCCCGAACTGTGGATTCAAATCTTCACCTTCTATTACTGACGATACATTATAAGCATGGACCCAGATATCCCCCACAAACCTTCAGCTTTCCCACCTTGCGCCGGCGCTCGTGCTCCAAAGCAAACTCCCGCGCGTGTTCCACAGGGATGTTCAGGGCATCAGCCAGATCGACCAAGGCTACTTTGCCGCAGAGCTTTTTCGCCAGCAGCAACAACCTGCTGGGCGTGCTGGGGGTAGGTTTTTGGCTGGGATTGATCAAGGATGGATGATGGATATGACATGATGGATATGACATGATCAATTTATACTGTTTCTAAGTATGTTAAGGCTGCAAATGGTTCGAAGGCTGATTGGCAATCAAACCAAGGGTGATCAGTTGTTCACCGAATGTTGTCAGACTTTGATGGGTCCTTCTAAGCTTCCAAACCAAGAATGTCCGCCCGCGAAAAAGGATGCATGCTGGACTAGGGTTTCTCAAGATTACCAGGGGGACCATCATGTAACCACAAGTTGCAACATAGTTTCATCATGTTTCATCTTAAACACAACTATCCTCCCTCACGTCTCATTGCATAGAGGAGTTGGTTGTTAGCACCCCTGCATAGCTGCATAAAAATAGCACCAAGCTGCCGATCGTCAGCAATCTCCTGAGAAACGTTCCCAGTCAGAGGTGACACCCAATGGTTGGGCGAATGCCTAGAGCCTATAGCCATAGCCTATACCAGGGCCATCTGTGGTTAAAGGGTGGCTGGTGAAATCCCGATGACATTCATCCCGATGTCTGTATATCTGGATGAATGCAATGATTCTGTAATGATTCGCCGCTGCATTGACTGAGTAAAGTAAGTAAAAAAGGCGGTTTCCTTGACCAACACACTGTCAGGGTGACGTTGTGAGAGATTGTGAGGTTGCACCAGCCCTTGGGTCCATACAGTCTCCGCATTGGGAGGCGCTTCACCGGAAAGTTTGTTCCTTTCGGTGTCCGTTTTCCTTGCCTATAGCGTGGTAAATCCCAAAACAAACCATCTGATTGAGGTACCAGTATCAGCTTATTTGCGGATGATTTGAAATGATTCCCAAATGGTTGGATATGGTTGGCAACTATCATGGCATCAATGGCATGGCAGCTTACCACATTCTAGTGGCATCATGTGGCATCTACTGACCTAAATTCCATCTGCATAGCTCAGCGTCATGCAGGATGGGAGGTGCCAACCCCACAGGGCTTTGAAAACTGTCACCTGCCAGCGTGACCCGCATGCGATGCTGACCACCGTTGAGACCCTCCACGCGATGCAAATGCACCGTGGCTAGCAGGTCCTCTTCAGGGGTGGTGGCCAGTGGAGCCGGTGGAGTTTTTTCGTTTTTCAAAGTCATCCTGGAGTAGATCGAATATGAACATCTTAAGGAAAACAGCTCACTAAAATTTGGACAGAATATTGAAAATTGATGAAAATTGCATGTTCTATTTACTTCAGGGTGATTAATTATTATACTGTTTTTAATTGCGCGTCTGTCATTTACAAAACCATCCTGGAGCAGATATAGTTCAAATGAAATGACTTTGGACCATTCCAAAACTGTCAGATTGGAATTGTAGAATAGTGTTTTCCATTGTTTTTCTACATCCATCTGCTCAAACGTGATTATACATGCATATATCCACCATAAAGTCCTTGTTATGTACCCGGAAGATGCATCAGCGGCCTTGCTGTAGTTGAAATCTTCCAACTATGGGTGCAGCACACTATCATGACATCACATATCACGGGGTACCCAACTTGCTTCGGCTCATACAATGGCATTCCAATTTTACTTATGTTACAGTGAACGAATATGAACGAAACATGAATTGAAGACCATGGTAGACAATTGCATAAATCGATTAAGCAATGTAAATAACCATTAAACTATGGGGTTTAACGATTTAATTAAACATATATATTATATGTTCATCAATATATATTTAAATTTATATATATTGAGGGTTAATGATTGTTATTCCTTTTCCGACTACAAATATGATGAAAACACGGACTTTACGCATGTTTACGCCAGATCCTTTTAGCTTTCCTGGTGGTCACTCCTCATCTGCTGCGGACGCAGGTTGCTCCACTACAGGCATCCAGGATAAGAAGAGTTCCACGGAGGAATTCTCAGCCTGTGATGGGGACTGGCTTGGAACATCGTGGAACTGCGGAGGGAAAACACCACATTTTTAGATTTTTTAGAGTGCTGGTAAAGCAACAGGATCCACCGTCTCCAATTTTACATTTATGGGTGCCATCAATCCTCAGGGATGGTTTAGTATCCAAGCGCACACACAGAGACAAACATAGGCACAACAAACGTCTTAAACTTTGTAGATGAACTAAAGAAATCTAAAGAAACCTGTAGAGCCCAAGGGAATAATCATCACAAGGCCGAAGAAAAATATTGCCCAGGAACATGCTCGGATCCCTCGCCGTGATCTTGAGCATCCTGATCTGACCCGATCACAGGATCGCTGGTTCCCCTAGCTCAGCTTAGTTGGTTGATAAAGTATAACTAACGTTTATGGATGTTTATGGTAGGTACATTTTACATATGATGTAATTATATACCCAACCAGATTTATGTATAAATGTATATAAATGTACTGTAGATGTTGTGAAATATAGCTTTTCATTCCTTACCTGAGGGGCACGCACGGTCTTGCTAAACCACCATCTGTTGGCTATATGGCCTGTTTGTATCTGTTTGTTTCATCTTTCAGGTGCTATATTCTCCTCATTTCACCTATTTCGGACAGTGAACTCTTGAAGATACAGCTGCTATCGGCCAGTTTCTAGCCACGTTTAATCCACCCGCGGCAAAAAAAACAGGTTTAATCCACCCCTGTGAATGACACGTCTTCTGACCCATCTTATCCCATGACCGTCATGACCCGTTGGGGATGGTCGGAAACCTCATGATTTAACCAGGAGGATCATGATCGATTGCTGGTTGGTGGTTTTTCGCCCCTCTGAAAAATGATGGAAAGTCAGTTGGGATGATGAAAATCCCATATGAAAAAAATAAAACATGTTCCAAACTACAAAGCTGATTGGGATATAACCACTTAATACATCAGAATCATTACCACGTACATCCAATGGGAATCGCACAGCTTCCATATAGATTGTAGAACAATCTCTCAAACAAACGTCGACGTGGTTTTTTGGTGGTTAAAAAATGTTAACAAACCCCGTATTTTTCCCCAAACATTCTTCCAGGGGTCACCGAACTGACAGTTGTTGCTTAAGTCCCCATGGTTCTTGGTAAAGTCCCCATGCTGTGGTAAACCCAATGATAAACAATCCCCAAGTCATCACCATAGATATGGATGATATGGGTACGATAAACCAACCATCCCCAAATATGAGTTGTAAAAATGGCATTGGCGGCTTCCCACATAAGTTATGTCAGTTATGTTAAGTCATAATCCCATTGATATTCAATAATCATCCTATAATCCATTAAGAATCCATTTATCCCATCAATAATCCATTCAGAATCCCAGCCAATTCACGATTCAAAAACCAGCCAAGCCCTGCGTTCAGCATCTGTCATTGGTACCTCCACATGCCCGGGCATCAGATCGCGCACGAAGACCTGACCGCTGCTCAGCAGCGAGGGGCCGGTGACGCGGTCCGTGAAGCCGTGGGAAAAGACGCGGAAACGCAGCAGCTGATCCTGGGAAGTTTCCAGGGACAAGCAAACGTAAAGGAATGACTCAATGACCAGGTGGTTTCAGAGTGTGTTAGATCTTACCAGAAACATGATGTTAGGATGGTTTGAATTGAGGTCGAAAATGAGAGGGAAATTCAGCCGGGTGTGCAACAAATGTGAAGGCAAGGTATTGGAAATGAATGGAAATCAACAAAGTTTCAAAACAAAACTCTGTAATCTCTGTATCATCTTCTGCATCTCCGCGATACTGTGCTGAGCCGCTAGCCGAATCTAGCCGATGCTACAGGAGAAGCCATTCCAATGAAGTGCATGAACCAAGTTACAACATTTCAATCCACTCCACCATACCCTCCGGTCATTTCACATAGCTAAATTTAACATGGCTACTGGTATATGTTTAGTTGATTTACCTATGAAAAGTGGTGATTTTCCATAATTATATACTTTTGTTAGTTTATGAGAGGGTATGAACACCCATAGCTGCAACAGCGGCTTTTTAAACACCAACACAGCGAGGCACTTGCGAATATACCGCCAGCTCCTTGGTGACACGTGCCACGCGAGCTGAAGGGTCCTTCTTGGGTCTGTGGTGTTCCCGACTTGGAGGATCCACTTACTGTGGTAACTGGTGAGTAACTGGGGTTATAATACGCCATTTATAAATAAGCCATTTACAAATGGGATAACGGGATAACCCAATGAAGTTTCTTATTGAGTATATTACGTATTCAGATTCTTGATGTAGAGTAGCCTCCCGAAAATAAACGGTGGATGATTGGGAATGGTTTATCATGTGTGACTAGCACTTGACTTCATGCCAAGCCTCATATCAAAAATTAACCCTTTGGTTGTTCTTCCTTTTTGGGGTTTAGGCAAAATATCATTTCTGAAAGACTTGTAGTGCTTCAACTGTTTGAACAGTTGGTCATTCTGGCGCGATTCCCCACTATTAATATCGATCAAACATGAATAAACACATGAAGAGTGTTCAAAACCCTGTGTCGATAGGGATTTCCCCCAATGGATTTTTGACATTCCCCCATTGGTTAGTATAACCCCCAACAATCAGCATCGGTTTTGGCGAGTTGGCCAGAAAAGGTCCATCGAATTGACCCAAAATCAACCCAAGCCGAGGCGCCTTCACGTTGCCCTCCAGCCATTCCGCCTGTCGCGAGTAGCTGGAGACTGTGGCCAAGCCACTCTGCCAGCGTTGAACGCCTAGCTCGACCTCCACGTGGACCTTGGCGAAGCAACCGCGGGACGTGGTTTTCTATAGCATGTTATTGCTAAGTTGTAGGCCATAATAGTTCTATAACAGTTTATAGCTGGCTTGTAACCTCATTTAAGTGATAGTCTCATTTATAAATGTTGAGGGCCATATTCTTACGCCAAAAAATGTCGAAAAGTGATAGTTGTCACTATTGGATACTATTGGATGTTAAAAAGTTTTCTTTCCTAGAAGGTAAAGAAATCCACCGGAATCTCCAATGAAACAAATTGAGGGCCAACGACCCTGATATGAATATATGGCCCATTACATATATGTATGGAATTCTGACAATTGTCCAACTTAAAAGGCAATAAAGTGGGGTATACTTGGTATTTTATCACCCATTTCTGGGCAAACCCTTTTTCCAGCCCCTGATGAAAAATCCAAATTCTTGATTCTTGATTGGGTCCATCCAAATCATTACCAATCTAATGAGAGTTTCATTGTTGATATACTCCCCCATGATGTTGTTATTTTTGTTTAAAAACCGATCCAGCTATTGGTTGATGGAGAGACCGAGACCCAAAGATCAAACTCTTCTCCCAGGGGCGGAGCTGGGCAAGGGTCCAGCTGCAGTGATGCCTTCCAAGGAAAGTCGAAGAAAGCCCAGCGGCAGCGGATGCTGCAGGGAGCAGCCGTCCACCGAATCATCCTCCGACGGATGCTGAAAATGAGGTGGCTTTGGGGCGCAGGGGTTAAGAAGTTCCAGTGGAATTCTTGAGCCCTCGGAAACTTTGAAGAAACATGTTTTTCAGTCGGCAATCAAAATTCAAGAGTGGCAGGGGCAATAGCAAAATCCGTCTGGTAAGTGGCTACAATGTCCGAAATTTCCACCTCAGGGGGTCATGAAAAATCATCGATGTGTTCCCCTGGATCCCACGTGGCCAAGCAGCAATTGGCACTGCCACCATATTGGGGACCACAATGAGGTCTGCAATGACGTCATCCACGGTGTCCCGTACAAAGTTGTAGAGGTTGGGGATCAGCTCAGTGCCTGTGAAGGGGATGGGATGCAAACAGTCGACATGACAAAGATTTCAAGCTATTTATTGGAGAAATGATTCCATCTGAGGAATGGAATAATATGATACGATTCATGTTTCATACTGGGCGTGTTCTCTTTGTGTTTCATACTTATCATTTCACACTGGAATCAGTTTTGCAAATGTTTTTTGCATTCCAAATCCCCAAAATGAAAATGTTTATCGTATTTTTCAAAATAATTATATATAGCACAAAACAATACAAAACATCCAAACATCTTGTGATTCACCACGCCAGTACTGATGACCCCTAATTTTTCGCCATCTTGCCCACTCAAATTCCAATGGTTTTGCGGGTTCCCCAAAATCCCCAAAACAGTTGTTCATGATGTTTCTGCGAAGTTGTCTAGACTCATTCACCCAAAATACTTTCATATCCTTCTTGAGAGTTCCCCAAAAGTTCAAAAATCAACACATATTCCCAGAAGATTCCCAATTTTTTGGTGGATTGACCAGTGGAGAAAAAAAATATTGACTCAGCAATTCCCAGTTCAATCCCCCATGTCCATAGTCTTCCACACAAAATGCAAAGTTGCCCATAGTTTTTCATCCCAAATCCATGGTGACCCTTAGTTACCTGCAACCCCCAAAAAAAATAATTGTTCGCTAGTTAGCACATCTTACCAGTGATAGCCAAAAACATAAAGTACATTAAATATTTTATAGAGTATCTAACCAGTCGGTTTGCCCAGATCCCAGTTGTCCGCCTGTCTTGATCGTGAGGTCGATCATGGGTCGTTCCAAACAGGTCACTGAGACGCCACCCACCGGGTTCAACGACTCCAACAAGGGCTGCAAGCCCAAACGAAGACTGCCTGGCGCTTGCCGTGATTTCTTTCTTGATGGGTCACGATGGCTCTAGGTTTCACTGGTGTTTCTCTGAAGCGTCTTATTTTTGTTGCTAAACCTGGTTTGAATGTTTGAACAGAACAGGTTCAACCAACCAGTGTCACCGTATGTAGTACTTCAATTACTGTTGAATATATGTGGGGTCTTTCTCCTGAAAATAGGGTAGGGTTTCAAATGATGTTTCAGATCTGACACGGGTTACTGAAACTTGGTGTTCCTCCCATTTAACGCATATATTCTAGCGCCGCAAACCCAAACGACCCAAACATAAAGCCTCATTTATTTAAAAAAAGTCTATCCAATTCTACCAGAAATGGGGCATCATAAACCATCAGAAACCATCATGTCATGTAATTATCCACGAATCATGCTCAAAAACTACCACCTGCTAATTTCACATGCTATGGGAAATGGCCCCTTGTCACATTAGTGTCACAAGAGATCTGAACGACCACCCAGACCCACCTTGCACCGTGATGTTGCAAACTTGCACGGATGCGACACCTCAGAAACGGCATGGTTCAAGGGGAACTCAACGCTCCAACGGTTCAAGGGTGTATGCAGGACTAAACTATCCCCGATATATCAAAGCCTAAAGATGGTTGATCATAGCGGGAGGTTTTTTGGTTGAGGAATCAGCAAGCGGCATCACATGTGAATCCGTCGATTGAGGAACAGAAATTGCTAGTGATTCCATCCCCCAATGTGCATTCCTCCCTCCAAAATGAGTATAGGTCCAATACTCAACCCAGGGCCACGGAGCCCTACATAGAATGTATAGAGGGATAGGATTGACTTGCCAAACCCAGGTCCACTAGCTTTCTCCGCCCATGTTTGCGAGATACCGGCGGAGAATTCCAACATTCCGTTTCCTGTCCACGCACAAAACTGGCGGCCTGTGATCTTTTTGATGTTCTTTTTGCGATGAGCTGTATATACATGTAATTATATACCTTGGCACTTAAACACCTGATTTGCGGAATGCATGTGTGTGTGTTTCTTTTTCTGCTTGCCACTACGGCACAAACACTTGAACAAACATACAAATTGCGGAGATATTGACACACGCCCACACTTTCATCCAGTATGCCAATCAAGTGACAACAGCGGCTACACATATCTACCCAGCGCCCCACAACGGGATTATTCTATTAATTTCTATTCTAATCCATGATTATCCATGATTCATCATGAGGTAAAAACAATAACCCACCATCCAAAATTGGGGTGTGTTACTTACTATAGCCCTACTTGTGATGTTCATGATCAGCCCCGATTAACCACGGTTGCTTCCTGGGTGTGCTCTTCTTTTAATGTGTCAGAGTTCATCATGCTACTATAGCACCCTGAAAAAGGTAGAAAAGTCAAAATCTACTGAAAATTGATAATTAGTAATTGAAAAGTACTAAATCCCGGGTTGTATCCGTTTTTTTTGGGGGGGTGGCTATAGATAATGCTCTCCACAGCGGGGCATCCTGGGGCCTAGCATGGCGCCTTCAAAGCTGAAGCCAGCGTTGATCTCCAGCCCATGGTCGGAACGGCTTCTGAGCGCATGGGCTCCATGGACGATCCCCAACGACTGGTTGCCATAACCATGGCACAGGCCACAGGTCAAATTGTCAGTCGCGGTTTGCAAGTACCCTCTGGTAATTTAACATAGCTATTGAAAATGGCCATAGAAATAGTGGATTTTCCCATTAATAATGAGGATTTTCCATAGCTATGTTAAATTACCAGAGGGTAAGTATTTTGAACCCACCCAGAGTGTCTGGCTGATCCAACCATTTACAAACTCTAAGGATCCCTTAGGATCCTCCACGCGAGCCACAACGGGGCCAAGTCTCACCCGCACTGGACCGAAACGAGGGGAGGCACTGCCCAAAGTCAGCTGCGTAAACTGCAAGTAGCTGCCTCTCTCTAGGTGGGTTGCAAGGATACCAGCCATTCAAATGGGGGTCACCATGTATTTTTGAATAAGGGTGTCAGCCAAAATGGGGATCTATGATCCAAACAAAATGATTTCAGATCATTCAACTGGTCGTTGAAACCCTCTGGTCTCATAAACCCTCATCTTACCTAAAAGGAAAATAAATAAACTACGTATAAAGTACTGAAAATGGATTTGAATACATGGATTTGAATTGGGGCAATTAGGGATGTTCAACTGGTTAGCATAGGGTACATATTCACCGACTCAAGACAATAAAGAAGTTGGAAGTTGTAGCCTCAAAAAGTCCATCTCCAATCAGATCTTATACGAGTACCCTCCAGTAATCTAACTTTACTGTTGAAGCCATCCCCGTTTGGTTCGATGATTTGCCTACAACCATTAATGGTGATGTCCATAGTTAAGTTATGTTAGTTTTCCAGAGGAAGTGTCCAAAACCAACCTGTTTGAGTTTCAGGTTGGTGTCTTGAGTGGGAAGGCTTGGAATCAATGCAAGGTCTGTGTGCTTGCAAATTGCCTTGTGTTTCCCTATTGAGGCTTGCAGGTACTAGATATGCCTCGGCCTATGGCTGCACCATTCCAGGCGTTTCCATTGCCGTTGAATCACGTTTGAAGAGTTCAACATAGTACACAAAAGAGAAGCCGCACTGGACAAATATTATTTCTCAGGTATCAGGCTCGTTTTTAGGGTGGAACACCTACAAAACATATTCCATTTTTTCAGCAAAATAAAAAGACGATGTTGCATCACCAAAGTGATTACTTAGGAAAACACAAATAGCAACCCCAACAGGATAGAAAAGTTGGAAGCATTGAACATATTGGAGAAATATCATCGAACTACCATCCTGGAAAAACCTGTCCATCTTCAGAAGTGTTGCTGTGGTGTGCAAATATATATATGCAGTAATTATATACTTAAACATGTATAATATAGCTAGCAGGTAAATGAATATATATATATATGTGTGTGTGTGCATATACTATACATACATATGCATATGAAGTCAGATATATTTATGGATAGCGGACAAAATAACTTCTTCATTTTAATGCCATGCACAAATTAGGGTCGTCCCCTATCTGCAATGAAGGTGATGCACACCCCTCAGCAAGGCCAAGGCGATGCAAGACTAAATTAGTATTAAAGTGAGTGACTCATGTATAGAAATATATGTATATATATATAATATATACATAATTATATACATATGTATATATATATATAGTTATATACATAATTATATATGTACACAATGATGCTAATAGGTCTCAGCTTCATCTTTCGACAACGTCCCAGCTGTGTTTTTTGTTGTTACGTCGAGCGGCCGAGACGTTTGCCCAGGCGCTGCTGCAGCGCCGGGCGGATCTCGTCTTCGATGATCTTTCGAACGCCAGCATCCAGGTGATCCCAGATGGGCTTGATGGCTGTATTGAGCCTCCGGTGACATCCGGTGACCGTAAAAAATGGATGGTTTATAAGGGGAAAATCCATGAAAATCCCATTGAAATGGATGATGAAAAAGGGTGTCAATGCATTGGTTTGTTGGGGCAAATTTACAGGAAACCATCAATTTTCCCACGAAGATCATGGGGTTTTCCTGTAAAGTTTGCCCAACAAACCAATCCATTGAAGGTGGGGAATCACATGGAATAACGTAAGATAACAGGAAAATCATATAAAATCATAGCCTACAGGCTTCCCTTCTCCAAAGTCAAGATGGCTGTAGCTCAAGACCCTGGATGGATTCCTGGATGATTCTGGCGATGTCTTGAAAGCTGCCCTCGGGTAATCAAACGTGGCTGGCTGGAAAATCTGCCATAGATATATAGATATATATATATAGATATAATACAGTATCTATCTATATATATAGAGATATATATATAGATATATAGAATTAGAATTATATAGAGCTAAAGATATGGATATAGATACAGATGATGTTTCCATTGAAAACCTCCGTTCATAAGGGATTTCTCAGCCAGCCATGCTTGATTCAACACCGGAGGGTTTCTGCCCAAAATTGGATCCAGATCCCTGAAGCCATAACTGGATCCTTTCGCTAAGATATGGAACATCCACCATCAATCGATGATTTGGTGGGAAAGCCATTGGTTTTTATGGCTTCTCCATATCATATAAACCATATATATCATATATATATAGCTATATATATAATTGTATATAATACATGGATAGTTACTATCTATCCATAGTATATTCCATAAGGAAAAAATACTATCCATGTTATACCCAGGCGAAGCCCAGCCCGAACGTTCGGCCGCGCCATTCCACTTCTTGCTCGGAGGACAGCACGTCGCTTCCGAAATGCCTCTCCTGCGGGTTTTGGACTCCATGGGGGTGTCAAATGGGGCTCGTCCAACAGCAGAGTAGGCTCCAATTTCTTGAGATTTTAGAAATAGAAAACTGGTTACCATATGTTACCATCCTGTAAACGAACGGTTTGCTATGGAAAATCACAACTTTAAAATACTTTTAAAAGGTAAACCATCTAGAAATGGAATAGTTTCCACACAAGTAGCCATGTTAGTTTACCAAAGTCAAAGACCAAAGGGTATTATATAATCATGCAATTTTTGGAGGCACCCTTGTGTTCAAACAACATAGTTAAACCATGAACTTTGGCCAAATCGCCGAGGATTCTGTGTCCATGTTGCATGTTTTTTCAACCGCCCAGTTTCATTGCTTTGCCCAGTTATGAAATGTTAACTAACTGAAAGTTAGTTAAAGAAGGATAAATACCATTCCAAATTCTACTGGAAAGTATTGTGGATGTCGTCCATGATGTCGATGTCACTGTCGTTCATTGCTAACTTTGATGGTTGATATACTATCCGAAAAAAGTATAGATATGTTTGATAAGCAATAGTATCCTATTCCCAATTTTGCAATTTTTCTGGTATAAACAATCAATCCATATATGGGTGGTTTATGACGCTGCTTTACTAACATTGAATAGGCTTCAACAGTTTCAAAATACCATTTTCCCAATGTTAACCAATGTGTCCATATTACTTCTCAATACACCATCCCCAATCAACATCAGTAAACCATACTGGACTTGGAAAAAAAGGTCCAAAAAAATCCACAGAGATCCACCATGCCACCTTGGTGTTGTGATGGATCGTCAGTCCGGTGGCACCGGTGGCCACGGCGCCCAGCGCCAGCTTCTGAGAGCCTTGGGAAAATCATCGAACGAAATCCGTGGGAATTCCGTGGGAATTCCCATATCATTAGTGAAATATAGTGAAATTGCCAGAGGATAAGCACCAACTCATGATAATTTTCATCGAACTAAATGGAAAGTCACCTGTAATCATCATGTTCGCTTGTTGAACATAATTTGAACACGGATGTTTTGGGATGTTTTGGGGTATATACTATATACATCTATATACCGCATTTGTGGATACAGTGTGATTTTTGGTCAAGATCAGACCTCAGGGGAAGCTGCCAACATCCTTCAGGCAGGGCGATAGATTTCCCAGGCCCCAAGGCTACTGTGTATGAACATCCATAGGTTATTGCACCATAACTTTATGGGATGAGTCAAAATCGGGTAGCCTACAATAATTGGCTTCTAATTATTCTAATTTGATATTCAAAAACATCTGCCTGTACCTCGGCATTTTGGATATATCTGAGACCATTGCAACAATATGCGATGGCCTTGCAGCCACAAATGCAATCCAATTACATATCATCGGAAATAAGCGGCATGTAGATCGACATAATTCATATTTTTATATATATATACTGGTTGGTGGTTTCAACCCCTCTGAAAAATATTGGTCAGTTGGGATGATGACATTTCCAATATATGGAAAGTCATAAAATTCCATGGTTCCAAGTTCCAAACCACCAACCAGTATATGTACCAGGGCCAGTATCTTAAGTTCTTTTTTGGTTCACCCTCCATCCACCCCTCGCAAAAAAAATGACAAAGCCCTCCGGGAATTTCAGTATTAACCCCGCCTGCACGCGCCAAGATGGTGGCCATGGACTTCCCAAAGCCCCAGCGGGTGACCACGAAGGCATAGTGATGCCCCAAGAGTCGCCCCAGCCGGGTCTGAGCCCATCGTGGACCGCCCCACGGAAAGGACATGGATCGACCATGGAGCTGTGGATGCGAATTTCAAGTTGAAGCTGTGATGAAGTCTAAAGTTTTAGAAGTTTTAGAATGTTTTAGATATGTGTTTGCAAAAAACTCGAAGTTTAGATGGAGTTTCATGTCGAAGTTTAGATGGAGTTTCATGTTGCTCCGGGATAGTTGTACGTGAGATTTTCTTGTGCTAACGATTCACTGTGCTAAAATATATGTCCGGTTCTGGAGAACTGAGTTCCTTTTGAAATGGCACTTCATCCAGGATGGTTCCTCAAGCTCAATCTCCATGATATACAACTCATTGGGATCTTGGAATGTCCTCCAGAACCCCATCTCAGAACCCAATGAAGTCTCTACAGCTACAGTCTTTCGTCTTGAGGCGATGCCTTGAACATCTTGCAGCTGGAGATGTTCAGTGTGAGTTTTGGGCATGCCGGCTAAACCCACGTGTAGCGATCAAATCTCAAACTGTTGTGTTGCTTGAATCTGTCCATGTCCATCCATATCCATCCATATCCAAATTCTCCGAATATCTCACCATTGACATTCAACATTTGTTTTTTGCATCTCATCTTGAAGCTTTCTGCTCCACTCCCCCAACAAAAACTGAGGCCGTGGGAAAAGCCCAGTTTGAATCTGCTGCTACAAGCGATCTCATGGATCCATCTGAAAGGGGCAGCACCCAGAAACCATGGATTGGGGGGATGGGATTCATGATGTTACCCAGTAACTGTTTCTGGATGTTCATGGAGCTGGCACCTGCATCTGCAAAGTCTGATGCCATGGAGATAGCATCAAGGGCCTGAATTCATCGTGATAAACGAACATTTGGAGATAAAGCAACCACAAAAGCTCCGATTCTGCGTAGCAGAATTGGACATCGCATCAAGGGACTTGGAGGAATTCATTGTTCAACCTTTCCGGCCAGGCCAAGAGTCGGGACGTTTGACATTGGAACCGGGCTCGCATCATCTCAACTTTGGAAATGCATTGGGTTTCAGTGAAAACCCAAGCATAACTAATGAATACTAATGATATATAGTGGCTACAAGCCACTAGGGCCACTAGGGGTCAACTGGAATGATCTCTACAAATCAAGGTGTAAGTACTACCCTCTCTTTTCGACATGGAAACAGTAAAAGCTGCAACAGTAAACGCTCATAAAAGCTCCTGTTTCCAAATGACTATAGATTTAACTCTTCTGTTTCAAGAGTTTTCTGCTTCCTCTCCATTGCTGTGAAACAGCGGCAGCCCGACTAAAAAGTCCAGCCTCTTGTTGTGGTAGTCCATCGAAAGCAAAGGGGAAACCTCGGTCGTGCAATGGTGACACACTCATACAGCACCAAAAAGGTATGTGTGTGTGTCTGTAAATCAAAATAAGAGTACATCCGGTTATAGTCACAGTAGTCCTATTTACAAGTATATCTGAAAAGAATGAATGTGGTATAATTATGTAACTGACCCAGAAACCTCCAAAAACTATCCCTGACAGCTACAGCCAAGCGGCCATTGAGCACATCGACATTTCCTGCTGCCGAAAGGGCCTCCAACCACCTAGGGACCGAACCAATGGGGACCCAATGGAGTAATGGAGCCATCCATAACATTCCACATCTCATCATATCCCATCCATTTTTTTGAGGGTGATGGATTTTAAGCCACACACTCAGGATGGATCCTATAATTTTTGGATGGTTGGTATATTATGTATGCTACAAGAAGCATTGCTCGTAAGGAGAAACTTGGAGTTTCAGGCTCAAACATGGCTCATTTTACACATGACAAACATTGACACACCATCCAATTTTCCAATATGTTCCATAGATTTGTCCATCAATTAACATCAATTAACATCAATTAATAATATCCATTAATATCAATTAATATCAATTAAAATTACAGTACTATGAATTAACATACCCATTATATCCATATTGGACTATACCACTCTTGTTTAAATCCAGATTTTCTAAGTCATGTCTGAAGGGCAGGTCGAGGAGATTGGCACCATCAAAGAAGCACAGCGCCTCCGCACATGGCATCGGGAATGGAGATGGTGGCAGGCAACGATGGGATCCTGAGGATCCTGGGAATGGTAACAGTTGATTCAGTTGATTTTGGATGATTTTGGTTTAAAGTTCTTGCCATCTGGTTATGACTAACAGCAATAGCCATGGAAAGATCCAGCCATTTTCAAGTTCGGTAAAGCATCTATTTCGATTAGGGCCATCGAAAAACCATGGCGAACTGGTGAAGTTCCAAGCTAAAGGAGATCTGGAGAGATGCCCATGGCACCCACCTCTTGGCGCCTTCGACCTGGCAAAGTTTTTGTGGCCGACCTATGGATGTTTCGAATGTTCTTTTTGTTACCTCCAAGTGATGAAGTGGTGAATCTTTGATTTTGTTTTCTCGTTGGTGACCACCAAGCCATGTTTCGGTGTTTTTTTTTGTTTGATAATTCTCTATTAATTTAAGTAAAACCCTCCAATTTGGTAGGGCAACATTGAATTTCACCGCCACTGGAGGATGGTGATAGCAACAAGAATCGAAGATTCGTCGTGGCCGAGCTTGGACCTGTTGCGCTCGTGAGATTTTTCACATGGAAGCCTCCAAAACAGGCCAGATCGAAAAAATAGCACTAATCCATAGTTAATGGATAACATTATTTAATGGATACCATTATTCAATATCGTTTTCGCGAAAAAAATGGTCCGATTCACTGTTGCCAAACATTTTGGAAAGGATCATCGTCGAAGTTATGAGCATAGCACAGCTATGTATTGTCAACATGGAATATCGACTCAGACCCCTTGGCCGAAGCTGGGGTAGATGATAACTGGATAAGACTGGGGTTCTGCAACTAGTCTCCCAAAAAGATGCATGGCAATGGACCTCCGAATCATCATGAATCATCCACAACTTTCACACTAGGAAATTTGCATTGCCAAATGCTCAAGTGCAGAGTATCACTAAAAAAAGAATAGAATATGTCTATCAAAAAATGTGTGTACGTTATAATATCTATATACATATATATATACATATACGTTACATACATGTACAAATACATATACATATACATATACTTATGCTTATACATTTACTTATCAAATAAATAATCTAATACAATAAAATAGTAATATAATGTAATATATGATATTATATGATTGAATATAATAAAATAACATTGAATAACATATAATATAGTAAAATATAGTACGATATGAAATAAAACAATATAATATGATATAATATCATATAATATAGTAAATAATGTAATATATAAAAAAATAACAATATATATTATAATATGAAAATAAAAGAATACATAATAATATACTTTACAATATAATGAATAACACAATTCATAATATAATTCACAATATTTTAATATGCAATATATAAAATAAAGTAAAATAGTAAATTATAATGATATAATAAAATATATCATATAATATAGTTTATAATACAATATAATAAATAAAACATATAGTCTATGATAAAAACAATATAATAAAATTTATAATATAATATATACTCTAATAAAAATAATATATAATATAGTTTATAATATAATATGATATAATATGATATAATATGATATAATAAAACTAAATAAACTATATAAAAAAATAATAAATAATAATAATAATATATATATATATATCCGTTCCCATAGGAGCGTCGTGTCCCCTCGGTCCCCAAACGGCTGGGCTGCGAGGTTCCTTCCTCCCCCCGCTCTGATTTTTCTCGGCTCCTGGGTTTTTGCACCATGGACCGGCTGGAAGGTGAGAATTGTGCCAAAACTGGCGGGATATCGATGGGTATCGTGGGATTACAAATAATACGGGATGGTTATTGTAACATGTTTTAATGCAAGATCGATCAATCCGGTCCAGTAAATTGGAGGCTTAATCCCACCAGTTCTTGGAGGTTTGGGGTAAGTAAACGAATTTTAAACCATCCATACTTGGAGGATGCCTCACCTTGCGAGCTAAGCATCATCTACAGTGACATTCTGGCGATATCATTCACTCAAACCTGGTTTGGTATCGGTATATGTCGAAATGAGGTACTGGGTATACCCCTTTACCATCGGATGGTTTATCAATGTTGATCAAAGTGACCCCAAATCTCGGTGTTTGGCAAACCCACTAAACCGTCCCCATCACCAAACATGAGTTGGGTTAAACCCTCCAAAATTATCAACATTGGACATAAACCCTTGGGATTTATTGGCGTCACCCATTACATTGCGATGTTTATGGCCGAATTCCCCAGCCCCGCGGAATTCGGCTCTCCTCTCCGCTGGGCTCCGGCCGCGGCTCAAACTTCTCCGCCTACCACGGATGGCGAGACGGGAGGGGGGAGATGTGAACGAAACAGATTGATCACCCTGGATAGTTCTATGATGCTTCTATGATGGTTTTGAATGGTTTTCAATGGTTTTGATGGTTATATGTTATGGCTATATATACATATATATGCGATTGTTTGATAAACATCTCAAAATAAGTTAACATCTCAAAATAAGTTATAAACAATGGTAAAACTAATTTGGATTAATTAGGGTATATATTTAAGTGCATTTCATTGAGGGAGATCCACCCACAAAATGACCATGTTGTCATTAAGTTATACGTTGTTCAATTCAGGAATCCGTCAAAAATATCAAACATGTTTTCGGACAATGGAAATCAATGGAATTTCATGAAATTCAGCACTTTAACACTGAGATATCAGCAAGCAAAATATGAGGCTTTCAGAAACAAAATCATGTTCTTCAAGATGTTCATTGAAGGTGGCACAATGTGCAGTTCATTCTCCATGATATTTTTGCTGGTATCAAACAAGCACCATGATGAACTACGATGATCTTAATTGCAATTGGTAGGATTCAAACAAAGAATGGCCAAAGCTTACAAATGATGTTCCTATCAAAAGCAGGGGTTTGCAGTTGCTCAATCTGCTAAAGGCAAACATGTCCCCCCGCCAACAAAAACTACGCTGCAACTGTGACCGGCGTGACCGGCCAACCTTTTTCCGAGCGACACAAAGGTGCCGCATTTTGTTGGTGCAACCTCTTGTAAGAAGATTTGAGTATGGCCGGCACATGGGTTGCCAATAGACCGACTTTCACATTCAACTATCCAAAGAGTAGCTATCTTTCGACTGTAGGAAACTATTCAAACACACGCCCACACAAACAATTACACCTAGAGATCGTCCCATTGAATCCAATTTGGTTTATGGGAACACACCTTTGAATCACATCCCTTATGCATTCCTTATGCCTCATGTTCAGCGTCTGACCTTCGTCAGGGTCGGGGTTGTGATTCAGTCTGTGCCGCCGTGTTCTTTCCATGGCTTTTCCGTGCACCCCCAATGGCCCAACCCTTGCTGAATAACGAAAGCATATTGGGGCACCCAGCTCGTTTTTGTTATATAGTATCTGAATGTATATCATCAAGTTTCCCAGCAGTGGCAAGGCTACACAGGACCCATATCACACCCACGTCAGTTCGGTTGAAGGTCACAGAGTTCCAGGGTCTTCTTCACTGCAGCGACATCTTTGATGCCACTGCAGTGCACCTGTGATCAGTGAAATCAGTGCAGCCAAACAAACTGCACAACCTGCACTTTGGACGCAGGTCTTCTGCGATTGGACCAAAAAAAACGGTCGGTCTCATGCAACAATTTTATAGGAACCCCCCAAGAGAGGTGGCGAACGGTTGACAGAGGATAGAATGTGCCAGCACCTGATGACAAGCCCCGAACCATGACATCGAGACTGGGAGGAGCCCGTAAGGAGACCTAGTTGCTACAGCACAGGAGCGCCAACCGTACCACTCTTCCCAGAAGGTCCGAGGCGCAAAGTAGCCACTTTTATAAGTGGTTATTCCTTTATATATCCTCGGCTTCAGGTAAAATTACAAGCTGTACAGAATGGAAGTGGGTGGTGATTTTTCGCCATCCATCCTCCCAAAAAATGCGCATTTCTTCATGATTTGTACGATCAAAAACCACCAGCCCTTTGTTTTCGGGGGCTCAAGCATCTCCATCGCGATGGTCACCATTTTGCGCAGTCATTGCAAATTGGGACTAGTGATGTGGAGCGACACCACCTGGATGTTGCGAGACACCCTCTGGCAAGATGTGGGTTCACAGCAAGGATATTTGTTGAAGATTTTCTTGCACTGCCCAGTGGTCTTCGTTGTGGATTCTACTGGGCATCTTTAGCTTCATAATTCTTTACTCTGGGATACGCTGGAGCATCTGGCAAACCAAAGAGACAGCGTGATAACGGCTCTTTAGTGGGATATGATCTATTATCCCACGAACATGAATGGTTCAACAATGGAAAAAAAACAATTACTTTACTTCGTGTGATCCCCACCATGACATTTATACGTTTTGTTACTGGCAAATCTTCTGGCATTCTATCTGGCACATCTTCTGGCATTCGATCTGGCATATCTTCTGGCATTCTAACTGGCATATTTTCTGGCATATCTTCTGGCATTCTATCTGGCATTCTATCTGGCATATCTTCTGGCATATCTTCTGACATCCTATCTGGCATTCTATCTGGCAAATCTTCTGGCATTCTATCTGGCAAACATTCTCTGGCATTCTATCTGGCATATCTTCTGGCATTCTATCTGGCATATCTTCGGGCATTTTATCTGGCATATCTTCTGGCATTCTATCTGACATGCTATCTGGCGTTCTATCTGGCATATCTTCTGGCATTCTCTCTGGCCGTTGAGGTCCAGCGGCGTTCACTGAGCTCGGAAGGTCCCAGGTTGAGGTCCAGCGGTGCTCACTGAGCTCGGCGGGTCCCAGGTTGAGGTCCAGCGGTGCTCACTGAGCTCGGCGGGTCCCAGGTTGAGGTCCAGCGGTGCTCACTGAGCTCGGAAGGTCCCAGGTTGAGGTCCAGCGGTGCTCACTCAACTCGGCAGGTCCCAGGTTGAGGTCCAGCGGTGCCCACTGCGCTCAGACCCTTGCAGTTGAGGTCCAGCAGTGCCCACTGCGTGCGGAAGTTGGCGAAGAGCTTGGCGAAGAGTTGGCAAGGCGGAAGTGGACATGGAAGTGGCAGAAGTGGACTTGGAAATGGATGCAGAGGTGGTGGAGGAGAAGGAGGAGGAGATGGAGAAGAAGGAGAACAACTCTGATAAAATCTAACAACCCTCACCTGGCAGGTGGGGAATCATCTCAAATCAGGATGGAATGGTAACCATCTCTGAGAACCACCAGAAGAAATGTATAGATGGGTTGATCCATATGCTGGACCGGTGAATGCCAAGATCTTCATCGACCCCTTCCCACGGTGCCATAATGCCAATCCCTGGATGAATAATCCCCCGGCCTCGGCTCCATTTGGGTTGGTCGGTGATCCCTGCCTCTGTCCATCCTGGAGAAAAAGGATTCGGACCCTAGGCTGCCAGGCCCACAATTTCTTAGCACATTTCATGTTTATTTGTTTTCTTTACCTTATAAATTATGCATCTACGTACATAGTGTATATCTTGTATCTATCTGTGTGTCGTGCGTGGCATATCTACTCTTGTTGACATGTGTGTCCATCTTCTGCGCAACTTTCAAGTACACATCCTGTATTGTACTGTCATTTCTGCAAAACGATCCAGTATGTGATCCAGCATACATACATAATTACATCATGATATATTATGATATGATTCACCTAAATCCAGTACAGTACTCCACTTTACGGACGTCTATTTGTCAGTCATGCCCCACCATCTCCCTCATGGGATGCATCCTCCATGGGGTACACAGGTGAGCCCTGGAAGCCGTAAACAGGTTGGTACACCGGTGAGGTCCGCCGCTGTGTGGTGGGAAAGCTCTCCATGCCTGCGTTCCGCAGGCCGCCGGGCTCTCCTGCAAGGACCCTCAAAGTCCAGGCCGAAACAAGGAGAAGAATAACGGATGAAATGTATATATACATATATAAATATATGCTCATCCCCGCCCACCAGGGCCTACCTTTTTTCCTATTACATTGACTGTTTCATTGCGAGGTCAAACATCTGTTATCTGCTATTTGGCAAAAAAACAATGCATTGGAGAGCCTTCTCCCCTTCCCCCATCCCAAAGTAGGTCTCCCAAGACTGTGTTTTTTTGTTTGTTTTTTTTGTTTGTGTTGTTTTTCGTCTTTTTTCCCTTGCTACCCCCCTTCCAAAACCCAACCCAAAACAAGTCATCCAAAATGTGTGTATGTTTATTCCTTCTGTTGTGGGGGAGAGGTGGCGAGCTAATCATTTAAATATATTATATGCATCGCTATTTGGGTGGTTTAAGCACCCTAAACTCTATCTCCATGAGGCTAGAAAAGGCTTGTTTGTGGCAAAATTCATTCGAAACCAGAACTGTATTTCTTTGAAGCCTGTGAGGCCACTATTCTAGTGTTTCCATGTGATTGTGTTACAGTACTACCTTCCATTGAAAGAAGTAAACCACTTTTGTTACAAAGGGAAAGCAACCCCCTGATTGGTTGAACAGGTTATTGGCATGTTCAATGAAATGGTTGCCATTGATACAGTGCCGTCAATGCATTCTGCGCTGGGCCAGCGAAAGTCCACCAAACAACCTGATGCTACAAACAACCTGATGCTAATGTGTTGTTTGCCAGCTGGTCTCACACTAATGCCTTGCCATGGTGCGGTCTGTCATCGTTGAAATTATATTCTAGTTAATAGATGTTACTGCAAGTACAAACCAGCAGTACCGCAAAAGGCGGTGGCGGAAGTTTCAAAAATAGGAAACCTAGAGGAGAGGTTGGTTGTTGTGAATCACGGATGGCAGAGCGAATCCACTGATGGACCCAAAGGTGGTTGGAGCTGTGTTTTTTGAAGTGGTTGCAATGGTTGCAGTGGTCACCTGGTCGGTCATCTCACCCACAACTGCTGGATGTAGTGTGGTGTAGCGCAGCTGCAGTTGTAGTTGTAGTGTAGTGGAGATGTAGTTGTGGTGAAATGTAATTAGTGTAGTGTAGTTGCGTTGCAGTTGCGTTTGTGGTGGTGTAATGAGTGTAGTGGAAGTGTAGTGTGGCGTAGTGTAGTGTGGTGTGGTGTGCTGTAATGTAGTGTGTGCAAAGTAATTTGTGTAGTGTAGTTGTAGTGTAGGGTACTGTAGTGTAGTGTAATGTATTGTAGTTGTAGTTGTAGTTGTAGTTGTAAATAATGTAGTGTAGTGTAGTGTAGTTCAGTGTAGTGTAATGTAGTTCAGCGTAGTGTAGTGTAATGTAGTTCAGTGTAGTGTAGAGTAGTGTCGCGTAACGTAGCGTGGCATGGCGTGGTGTGGTGTAGCGCAGCGTAGTGTAATTGAGTGTAATGTACTGTAGTGTAGTGGAGTGGAATGTAGCGTAGTGTAATGTAATCAGTGTAGGGTAGTGTAGTGTAGTCTTATGTAGTGTAGTTGTAGTTGTAGCTGTAGTTGTAGTTGTAGTTGTGGTTAGTGTGATGTAGCGTAATGTAGTGTAGCGTAGTGTAATGTAATTAGTGTAGTGTAATGTAATGTAGTGTAGTTGTAGTAGCAGTTGCAGTTGCAATTGAAGTTGTAGTTGCCGGTGTAGGTGCAATGTAATGTCATTCAGTGTAGCGTAGTGGAGTGGAATGTAGTGTAGCGTAGTGTAATGTAGTATACTTGCAGTTGTAGTTATAGTTGGTGTAGTGTAGTGTAGTGTAGTGTAGCGTAGTGAAATGTAGTGTAGTGTAGTGTAGTGTAGTGTAGTGTAGTGTAGTGTAATTGAGTGTAGCGTAGTGGAGTGTAGTGTAGTGGAGTGTAGTTGAGTGTAGTGGAGTGTAGTGTAGTATAATGTAGCGCAGTGTAGTGGAATGTAGTGCAGGTGCAGTTGTAGTTGTAGTTGTGGTGTAGTGTAGTGGAGTGTAGTGCAGTGGTGGTTGTAGTTGAAAATGCAGAAAACCCTCACGTTTTGCTCACTTTTGACAAGGTGCACAATCCCTTGCGCCTGCCACGCGAAACGACATCTTTACGTCCAAAAGCACTCTGCACTCATGTTTTCTACACTTTTGACTTCGAAATGTGCTTCGCGCCAGAACGGCGTGCACTTTTTGGACATCTCAACTTCCAAAAGTGGACCGAACATGGTGTGCTTTGTACATTTTGACTTGGAAACGTGCTTCGCGCCACAATGGCGCGCACTTTTTCGACATCGCAACTTCTAAACGTGCTCCGAGACCCAGGTGTTTTGTACATTTTGAGTTGGAAATGTGCTTCGCGCCACAACGGTGTGCAATTTTTCATCTCTCATCCGGCCAGCTGGCTCCGCACCTGCCGCTTTAGCGCGCCTACTTTTTGACCCTCCGGAGCCACAAATCAATGATAAAAAAAAGTGTTTCGCGCACCTGGATCTTCTTTCTTCTGAGGCTTTCTCTTTTTTGATCTTCTTTCTTCTTCTCTTCTCTTCTCTGACTCTTCCACTTCCCATCTCTGCCTTTCATCTGTCCATATTGTCGGAAGTTTGACTTCTAAACTTCCTTCGATACTGTTTCATTTAAATAATATTCTAATTAATAGTGGAAGTACATATAATGTTGAATGAGTTTGGGCTGCGCAGCGCAGCGGTTGACCCAAAAAGATGCAACGCATTGAGTTAAAGGCAAAATTGCAAACAATATCAGGCAATGCAGTTTTTTTCACTTGCTTTCATTGCGCAGGAGAAATATGTATATAATATAATAGTCTATTAAGTTTTGTGCCTGTGCTACATTCCCAGCTGCTTTGAAGAAATGAGGTTCTTCAAAGAAGTGCGGTTTTCCTTACAAAGCATCCACTGCAACCAAAAAAGTTGTTGTCATTTATAAGCTGGTTGCTTTTGAGCTAATCAAATGTTTTCTTTCAGGAAGAGATCTCTTTGTGTGCCTTTATAGAAAAACAACATTTGTTATCTACAATGTGCATTGTGTTCTAAAGTGCGGTATTCCTGCCTTCTTCCTTTATCATGGTAGCACTAACATTCCTTCAGGATCCTTCAGGCAAATACTGTCTTCTTTAAAGATTGAATACTTAACTTTACATTACAATCGTATTTAAAAAGTTTAGTTTAGTTTAATTAAGAGACATGACATTGTGTCAAATTATGCGGTGTATCCTCCAAAGATGTAGCATTCCTCTCAAAGAAGCTCAACTGGCCTTTATGTCTGAAAGTAGCACCATTTCTTTAAACAAAATGTAACACCCCTTGTCATCGAAACCCAGCCGCCATCTCTTTGGAAGGAACAACATTTGTTTGAAGGAAAGGCTTTACTCAGCAAAAAGAAAATTGAATCAGCTGCCTGTTTTGAAAGTTACACAATGTTTTGAACATATGTAACAATTCTTTGAATGACACCTTTTCTTTGGAAATATGTAAGGCTCCTTTCAAAGAACTCGAGCTGCGCTCTACTGGGACAAGAACAACATAATTTTACATCCCAAAGGCTTCACACCTGAAAAGAAGAATTGCACATCCCGAGGAATACTACGCATGTTTTGTATACAAGACTTTTAATAATGACTTGACAAGAATGACTGTGGGGCAAGATGAATCAGATTTGGTTCCGATTAATCTGGATGAATAATAATCTGGATTGATCTTAAGGAACCAAACACCCAAAGAAATGTTAGTATATAAATCACACAAAAAGCTGGACAAAGAAAATACTTGTTTTTTGACTGTAAATACCACCAAAAAAAGCTCAAGGTAGGCCCTGGTGGGGGTGGGGTGACCATATATATATTTATATATATATGTATGTGTATATATATATAAATATATATATATGTTGGTGCGAACTGTGCTATACTCATATGAACAGTTGTCATTTCCTTAGTACATCGAAGACCTCGGGTTAATCAAAAAACCCGTCCTAAGTAGCCAACTAGCCGCCGTTCCATGTAGCCCACCAGGTGCTCGTGTGACCTTTGAAGTTCTTCCATCTGAGTGCTGGTTTTGTAGAGGGCTTGGCAAGCCCAGGTCAACCTGTAGATGCTGCCGGTGCCGGTGGTTGGACGATCTTGGGGCCCCCAAAGGGGGCCAAACACAGCTCTGTGTAGTTTGCTGCCGCTATAAATGGATGTGGAACACATTATGGCCCATGGTATATCATTATATCACTGTCATAAGTCACAAGTATTGTATGAGATGGCTGATCATATATTCACACCCAATTTATCATTTATGGTCAAGAAAAAAGGAACAATCATTGCAGTAAGCTACCCTTCACGAGGCTTTCCCCAGTGGACTAAATGCACTGAGAACTGTCCAAAAATCATATGCAATCACCAAACATCGTCAAAATATATCAAAAGAGTATATGTCATCGTAATATTAAATTGTTATGATCCTTGAATACTTCGCATTATAATACACACACATATATACGTAGAAAAATATCTCTCTATATATATATATATATATATCCAATATAAATATATATATATACATATATCATATATATATATATCAAATATATATATACATATATCATATATATATATATCAAATATAAATATATATATATATACATATCATATATATATACATATCATATATATATATCACATTATCACATATATATATATATTATCAAAAATATAAATATATATATATATAGTTGATATCTATATTTATATATGATATATATATGATATATATATATGATATATATAGAGAGAGATCATATTCATCCATTTTTTAATCCTCAACAAAGTACATGAGAAAAGACATGACAATCCCATGGATTGACCGGCCATGCCAGGCAGGCGTTTCCACCCAGTGAAGCCGTGCGGCCTATCAGTTGCCACATCAAGACCAGCATGCAAATCATCCAACCTGGCGTCCAGATCTGATCAGCACGGCTGTGGCTGATGTCAGTCGTGGCGGGCAAGCAACCGAACAAAGCATCCAAACACGGGGCCAATTTCAATGGCAACTGATATGGGATGTTTTTCACCAGAATGGGAGTTCAAGCAATTTGTTGTAAGAAAAAAAGTGAGGATCACATTTTGAGGTCCAGCTAACCAGGATCCATATCTCCAGGGGTCTAGCCGAAAGCAAAAGGCCGTTATGACATTATATGACCACCCATTTCTAGGGAAAGCCGTATCGTTTTCCTTGAATCTAATTGTAACATAGCAGGGTTCGGAATGGGAGTGAGTGACCCAAAGAGGTTGCCTAGCATTTCAGGAGATGTATATATATATATAAATACAGACTACAGTATATAGTATAATAGTATACAGTATACAAATCGATCTATCTATTCATCTATCTATCTGGCTATCTATCTAAATCTATCTATCTATCTATCTATCTATCTATCCATCTACTTACCTATCTACCTCTATCTATCTACCTCTATCTATCTACCTACCTAGCTATCTGTCTATCTATCGATCCATCGATCTATCTATCTACCTATCTATTCATCTATGTATCTACCTATCTACCTCTATCTATCTACCTCTATCTATCTACCTACCTATCTGTCTATCTATCGATCTATCGATCTATCTATCTACCTATCTATTCATCTATCTATCTGTCTATCTATCTATCTAAATCAATCTATCTATCTATCTATCTACCTACCTCAATCTATCTACCTCTATCTATCTACCTACCTATCTGTCTATCTATCAATCTATCGATCTATCTATCTACCTATCTATCTATCTATCTACCTATCTATCTACCTATCTATCTACCTATCTATCTATCTATCTATCGATCTATCATTATCTTCATTTCTATCATTATCTATCTATCTTACATTATCTTTCAGTATCTATCATTATCTAGCATTATCTATCATTATCTATCATTGTCTATCATTATCTATCATTATCTATCATTATCTATCATTGTCTATCATTATCTATCATTATCCATCATTATCTATCATTATCTATCATTATCTATCATTATCTATCATTATCTATCATTATCTATCATTATCTATCATTATCTATCATTATCTATCTGTCTATCTTTCTTTCTTTTTTCTATCTACCTACCTACCTACCTAACTACCTACCTATCTATCTATCAATCAATCAATCAACCAACCAATCAATCAACAAATCAATCATTATCTAGCTATCTATCATTATCTATCTATCTATCTATCCATCCATCTATCCATCCATCCATCTATCTAAATGAGTAGTGGGCGAAATTTTATGTTAAATTTGTATAATGCCCTGCGCAAGTTGGGGTGATCCCCTATCGGTCGTGAGGATTTCAGTATTCCCGGAGGTATCACAAATGGGGTATCGGTATAGGGCCGTCCCCTATCGGTTATGAAGGTTTTGTGCAACCTCGGAAAGGCCAAGGCGAAGCAAGACTAAAAGTAGGAAGTCTGACCACCATCTTGCCGCCGGGTCCAGCAGTCTGATTGAAACGCTTGGGATCAACATCCCGGCTGGGCCCATGACCCCAAAAGCCAAGATCAACATAGTCATAGAATGTCATAGATATTAATAATCATGGTGTTGAAAAACTAAAACTCCATGAATGCATGGAAAATCCATGGAATCCATTCTCTGACTATGTGATGAACTACAAAGCCAGACCTCGGTGTGCAGCAATTTTAATGTTGGTCAGCCCTCAACAGGATATGACACGCGCAGTTGTTGCAAGAAATCGTCCCTTCTGGAAGACCTCAAATTCTCCAAACGTCCGACGTATCCAGCACCAGCGGCCAACAGAAGAAAAATGTCAAAACCTAATCATTCTGGGAAAATTACAATATTTCACTGACCTGAATTAAGGCCATTTGTTTTTTTGTTTGATTCCCCTTATTAACCATGATTTCCAGTGAGGTCGCAGTGAGATCGTTATAATTTACCCAGATCATTGATTCCAAAAGGGCTACCTGAAATACCCCAAACAATCCTCTTTGCAGATTGATTTTAGCAGCGTGCCTTCTCAAGTTGCTACATCAGAGTTAATTACATGCATCATTGGCCCACTTCAGCATGCTTGCTCCCAACACCCCAGGTAACAGGAGTGGCAAATTGGGTAAAAATAGAAGTAGAATGACAAATTTTCCCGCTATCTCTCTCCATCGCTGTCAGGTCACTCTGCCCTAGCTGTGCTAGGAAGCGAGAAGCCAATTTTCCCCTAGCTTTGTGACAATTTTCACCAAAAATGGGCTGGAGCAACCCTGTGAAACCATCAAACACTCGCGTTGTTCCACGAGAATCAAACTTTGAGATTACAGGGCCCAGGAGTGCCAACCCTCTGCCTGCGATCCATCTTGCCCATCTTTTCCTGCCTCGGCTGCGCGTTTTTTCATAGCTCGAACTGGCTCAACGTATGGCGAATCATCCTAAATAATGTGGTAACCGCAAGGTAGGATGCTTGTTGGGATACTTGTTGGGGTAAGTGTGGAATGATTCTGGTAAACCACCCAAGTAGCCATTTGGGACTCATTTCACATCATCCCTAATAAGAGTCAACCCAATAAGGCACCCCAAAAGGGAATGGTGTATGAATGCTGCAGACATTCTGAAACCAGCACCCGCGAGGCGGTGAGACACAGGTTGTAAATGTGGCTACTATCCCAACTGGGGACCCATATGCCAGCATAAGGGTACACGAACATGGTTGGAAAATTCGGAAATGTTGTGAAATGCCCCATGGCTTTCTGCGATCTATACTCATTTATAATTACAAGATGAGTTTTGGATCCTGTCCCATATATTTTTTAAAGATGTTTAGATTATACCATACTTCCAATAGTCTCCCGTATATTCCATATATTTCCCAACTGGTTTTCTATGTTTCAACGGCAGAAAAAGTGCGCCGAGGTGCTGCAACTGCGCAAAGGTCTCGAAGTCGCTGCTAGACCTCCGGGATATACCCCGTGGTTAAAATAGAGCTCTGTAGCTGGGAAAATCAAGCAACTCGTGGTTAGATATTCGGTTATAAGGGAAAATATATATATATATATATTACAATATGTATATATATATATACTATAAATATATATATATATACGATATGTATAATGTACAATGTATGATGTGCCTATATATATATATACCAGGAGCTTCAAAGACCCAAAAAATTGTAGGTCCAGTGAAAAAACCTAGTTTTTTTGAGAAAAACATGTTTTTGTAAAGAACCCATATTTTGGGTTTTTGTTGGATTTGCACAAATTTGTCCAAATCGGGTGGACCTGTATCAAATTTCTCCTCATTACATGTGGCAATTTCATACTGACAACTTGTGAAAGCTGTGAGACAGAACGCGCGATCGAAACCGAAGCAAGCGTTATCAGACACGATGCGCGCATTCTCCACCGGCTGCAGTTGCCTCCTATGCTGCGAACTTTCCCTTCAGCGGGACTGGAGGTAGTCAAAAAGTCACAATGGATAATGGATATGCATGGCATTTCAAAAGTCAGCTTTTCAGATATGAACCCAGTAAATAGCTCCGGTAATCTGGGTTGTTTTCTTTTTGTCTGGATCGGGCAATTACCGGTTCGATCTTGCAAAACCACAAGCGGAGCCTTAAAACTCGACGTCGCGCCGTCAATTCGCAGAGGCAAAGGACCCATATTTTGAGTACGGGTTAGTATGGGTTAAATATGGGTTAAATATGGTTTAAATATGGGTTACAAAAAATCGTTTTTTGTTTAACTATATCAGAATATGGGTTTAGTACATTTTAGTATACGGGTTAAATATGGGTTTAGTACGGATAGTACGGCTTAAATATGGGTTTTTGATGGTTTTTGTCATTTTTTGATATTTTTTGGGTACAGACCCTAAAATTCTCATCCGAAATGATTAAAAACTGAAATTTCGATTGTTTTTTTTATGATTTTGTTATTTTTTTCGATACTTTTGTTCGACTGCTTGTTGGACTTTGGCAAGCCATAATCATTTTTTCCCAATGAAAAAAATACAGCCATGTTTCAATTTATGCTTCTAGGGGTGGTTCTTGGGAAAAAATCATCCAACGACTCCAGATTGACTGTGATCACACTTAATGTTGTCCGACATGTTCCAAGAGCATCGGGCCCTTTCTTGTGAGAACTGCCAGCCAAAGCCAGCGGGGTGGAAGTATAATCAACATGAAGGGTACTGAGAGGGATAGATCCAAGGCTGGTACGAGTATCAATAAAGGGGTCTGAATCGTCTAAGGGAACGAATCATGAGATGCCATGACACCAAGTGTGAGAACAAGTAGGTTTTTTCCCTAGTAAAGAAAAAGACCAATATTTTCTGAAAAACCGGGTTTTTTTCATAACTGAAGAAAAAACTATTTTTTTGGAAAAAGACCTACAAATTTGTGGGTTCTTGATGCGCTAGGCATATGTAAATATATACTACAATTATATATATATATATACAGTATACATATATAACATTATATAACCACTTTGATATGTTGGAGTATCCACGGATCGCTAATTGAGGGACTGGAAATAACATGGCAACCAGGAATTCGCGATTCCTGGCGAGATATTGGGCTATATATCCCCGTCAAGGGTCGCAGGTGTGAAATCCAGAGGAAGCGCTTATATTTCGATATTAACCCCATGTAAAAGGACACCACAATATGTTTTCCTCTGTGGTTCTTTGAGACCAACAGAGTGATTTCAGAGGTTCGCCACCAGAAACCACCGTCGATTGACCCACTGAAAAGTCGATGGATGTCAATTGGCACCGCAGAACATGACTGCCTTCAGCTTTAATTATCAACCTCGCTCGCTGATCTTGTAAATCTGTATATCGCGAACAGACTTCAATCCAAATTGAGGGCTTCATAATGTGTCATACCAATCAAATAATCAATGCCATGGCATCCGTATGTGTCCCTATCTGGGTTCATGTTCAACACCAAAGCGATCGGATTTCAATCTTAACGTTCTATATGTTCTATTCATTTAGAGATACTTTAAGGATTCCAGTTCCAAATAAGATCTTCAGTCAGAAAGGTATGGGTCCGTTTTAAGGTTCCAGTTGCAAAAAAAGATAATTAAGGCCGGCTTGGATACAAATAAACCCTCATTTATATATATCCCAAAAATGCTTCGATCAAGCAATGGAACAAGGACAATGTATGGTTCCACTCCGAAGGTCTTCCATTCAACGAATCTTTTTGTACAGGAAACCTATGGAAGCCATCATATCTCCTGGGAAAATTCATGGAAAATCCATGGGTGATCATTGCAGCGCCTTGGATCTGGATCCGTCGGCGGTGCAGGAGGCCTTGGGCCGCTTGGCAGGGCATTGGCTAATGTCATGGTTGTCATGTATGGACCCTAAAGAAGACGAGGATTACAGGGTAAATCAAAAAATGGGGATGTATGCAAGTTAAATGGTTGATACATGATGACTTTGCTGAGGATTTATCATTGGATGTGCATCCACGGCTCCACAGCTGGGCAACCTGATATGTTTCAATCATTTTCAAAACATGGCTGTTCCACATCCACTAGAAACTTGGTATTATGCGGTATGATAATGTATGATATAATTACCAGTATGGACAGGTGCCCATCTGGACCAATCCCCATTGCATATGTTTAGTATACCCATCATGTCATGTTTCTTGGGTCATGTCCCGTACCCATTGCATGGGACTTGGCCATCTGATCGGCTCGTTGTAGCATCCGGACACCACGCGATATGTTTGTTGCCCCTTTTTTCTGGTGCACAAGAACTGGTCACGAAAACCAAAAATCATTTTAAAATACCAGAGTGGTACACAAAATTTCGGCCAAAAGCTGGAATTCGCAACTTCAAAACTAAGAATTGTTCGAT